AATATGCGCTGTACTGTATCTGGTACAAGACTGTAGGTTTGGTGCAGATGTGGATTGAATGTAGTCTTTAATAGTTAACAATAGGCTTGTTTTGTGTGCAGAACATTTTTTTCAAATCCACATTCCCACACAAACCTAGTAAATGGTGAACTGGAGCACAATAAACACATAGCATGCTAAGCTTAGCCAGGCCTCTGGCTAGTGAATGTCCTAGGCAGTACAAACAAGAAGCTATCATAGCGAGATGTAGTCGGATTTCGCAAAATTCAGTTTAGAAATTCTGTACTGTATACTTCACTGTTCAATGAAAACCATGTATCTCTACTTTTGGTTGTTTTTTTTATATATATAAACTGAAAGATACTGTCTCCTACTTCTTAGGCTTAAAACCATTTTAAAAACCTAGTCAATTATTTGAAAAATGGATGGTAATACAGCTGACAGGGCTGTTTTCTTGGCTCATGAAAAGTATTGTGGAGATGCATGTTTTTCATAGGACTGTGTGACAGCTTATGGTTAAATTGATAATGATATCTTTATATTTCAAGGTACTTAATCACACTGATACAACACAAGTTATCCTGCTCATTAATTCACAGCTTTGACTCTGACTTGGCACAACTGGAGATACTGTATTAAAGGGAGGTTTACCACAGTATAAATGGTACAGAAAAAAAAATCTCTTATGGGTTGGAAAATCATCTCACAATATAGAAAGGTCATACGCCCACACATTACTCTGACATGGGCTTTGACAACCACTTATTGATGTCTGCCAAATCTAATTTCTTGTCATGAGAAAGGAAAAATGCTTGGTTAAATTCCCCCTCTTTTTGAAAGAAGCAAGGCATGGTGTTTCTTCTGTGTGGTAGAGGAGGTGTATGTGTGTGTTGGGTGGGGGGTTCTGAGGTGAAAAATTCAGGAGAATGAGCCTCTGCCATGGACACAGAGGCCCACCTGAGGAGCATCTGAGCTGCTCTGCTGAATTTCAAACAGGCCTACCTGCTTTGGAGCTGTGCCATTGGCTCTGGTTTGGCAAACTGTAAATCCAATAAAAAGTTTGGCAGTCAAAACTTTATAAAGATGACCACAGATTAGAAAAGGATTGGGAAACAAACCACCACATGCACCGCAATCACCTGAAAGAGAGCATGATGTGATAGTCACCCATCCACCAGTATCATGATCTAGTGGACATGTGACTAGTAATGCTGGGAACTGCAGCAGCGGTTTCAGATAAATGAGTAATAGATAGGATGGTGACATAAAGAAAATGAGCATGCAGCAGCCTAATGAAAGGACCAGAGGTGAGTCACGTAGATGGCTGAAAAGCTCTCTCTCGCTCACACACACACGCACACACACGCACCCCAGGGATTGTTCACTGGCAACACCTCCTTGCCAGAGGGCACGCATCCCACAAACCTTCTCTGCTGGAGAGCTACAGTGTCAGAGGTGGTGGAGTAATGCCTTTATTTGTGTCATGCCAAGCCATTACAGCTTCACTTTGTGCCAAACAAAGCACAACATTAAAAATCTCTACACACCGGACCGTCTGAAAAGAGCAAGACTGATCAGATGCTAGGCATATTACACACCGTCCAACCTGAGTGCCAAAATGAGTCGCTCAGCTCAGCTGTGGGTCATAGTGTGGCCACCTCAGCTGGTGCTTTTCCACATGGCTCACTCACCTTTACGCCACACTGGAAAGATTTTAAATGCAATGGGACAGATTTGCAATGTAAAATGTTATTAAATTCATCAAGAATGGTTTTATTAAATGCCATTAAAACCCCCACGAGAGTTTCTTGAGCCTTGAGTCTGCCAACCAATGCTCCAAAACCTAAACAATGTTTATTGTATGTCACATAAGGCTAAATAAAGCAACCAAGTTTCACACAGCATTCTGGAGTAAAAAGATGTTTGGTGTGTTTGCTTAAAAGTTAAGCAATTAGTTTCTGATTCATTTTCTGTTGATGGACTCATCTATTTTCAGCTGTATTTAAATCTAAGATGGTTTACTCATGGGGTAAGATGCACCTGACTGTTATATATTTGTATCAGAACTTTTAGCACACATTACCTTAAAAACAAACAACAACCCGTCAACAGGTTTTTTAAATAGTCATGCTGTGACATTTATACTGCACATCCAGACCTTGTTCAAACTCAGAAAACTTTATTATAAGCTCTAATGTGGCTCCCAAAGAGTTGATGAAATTTGTATAAAATGTGATGCACAAGATAATCATTTGATTAAAAACAAAGTGTCTTGGGTGTTGATCTAAATCTGTTTCAGATAGGAGTAGTGAGCGCACAGGTGCAAAAATCACCGACCTTAAAGTAGCATAAGGGAAAGCCTGTATGCTGCTGTGATCCCTCCTATGTACCAATAATGGCACACCAGCACCAGTGTTTTACAATGACCTGGTTTTAAGACGGACACTAAAACAGTTGTCAGGTGTACAGTAAGTGTTGTGAGGACAAAGACAGACCTTGGCTGACTGTGGCAGCTGTTCTATACTAACATGTTCTTTTTAGCTGGTAGCACTGAGCATATGCTCCTCTGTCAACCAAGGCCTACAATGCAACTGTATTTGTTAAAAGTTTGTTTTGCTTATTGTCTACAATTGTTTTCAGCTGAAGACGTCACTCCAGAGGAAAGCACTTGGTTGTCACAAGGCCTTAGATGACCTTGGCATGGAAAGACAGAGTAATGTTACTTTCAAATGTCCAGTTCATTGTACGTTACTCTGATGATATACTGAGATAGAGGACGAGAAGCAGGAGGAAGTAAACAAAGCAGCTTTTTATGTCACATTTTTCTGGCTCATGCATCTCAAATTTACAGTGTTTCAACACATTGGACAGTGCTGCATTAATTAACACGTGTCTGCAGTAAAACTGAAATTCATCCCCACAGAGTAACCCGTGAATGCACAAGTGTTAACATGAAGCTGAGAGTTAGGGCCCTGACTTGCTCAGTTATCAGCCTCAGTGTCTCTAAGTATCCCTGTGTTGCTCTCCGGTACATTTCCTTTAAGGTAATGACCTATGTGAAGCAAGGGGGCATATCGTGGGGCTGTAATTTCTCAATCATTACTCATTTATATAGAATAATCTGTTAGGCCTTGTGCCAGCTGTATGTGAAACACATGGATGATCAAACCTGCGTTTACAGTATGTGGTCCACTGCCATCACAAAAGCTCCGAGTATAAATGTTATTAAAGTTAGAATATGGGGTGGCTGTGGCTTAGGAGGTAGAGCGGGTCATTTCCTAACTGGAGGATTAACGGTTCGATTCCCGACTTGTCCAGTCAACATGTCAAAGTGTCCTTGAGCAAGACACTGAACCCCCAGTTGCTCCCGGTGATAACACTGGTGTGTGAATGTGTGAGCATTTGTGAGTGCAAATGGGTGACTGTATGTACAAGTATAAGACCATTTACCAATATGTTGCACAGCATGCTGATTTTCTTATGTGCAGTCCACCGATCATCTTGTGACTTATAGATATACCTACTAAACATACAAAACATTTTAAAGTGCATTTTATAAATTATATATTCGTTTACAAGTGAAATACAAACAACCATAAATACAAAGCATAATTTTAGAAACCTATGTTTAGAACATAGGTTATAGCTTATAGCAAATACAGTCTTATATTTTAACCCATCACTGGGTGAAAAGGTTTCATTTTATTTTCCAGGACAAAGCAACAATTCAACCACGGTTTTCAAACAATCTGTTTACATCCGTACATTTCTTATCGTTTAAAAAAGTAACCTATGGTACAGTACATTTCCAAACCACTGAACATTTCTCTGTTGTCATATCGTAACAGGTCACAGACAGTGAAGGGAGCACTTTAGGAGCAGCCACATTAAC